ATCCATCTAACATCGGCTACAATATCCTTAGTACCACGACCCCTTCTAAACCCAGCCTGGACTTCTGGCAGTTCTCTGCTGAGGTGCTGTTCCAGTCATTTTTGGATAATCTTCAGTAGAATCTTGCTTGCATGTGAAATCAATGATATTGTTCTGTAGTTTCCACACTCAGTTGGGTCACCCTTCTTTGGAATGGGAACAAATATAGATCTCTTCCAGTCGTCCAAGTGGTTGTTCTCCAGATTTCTTGGCACAACTTGGTGAGCACATCCAGGGCAGCATCTGTTAGCTGAAATATGTCAATTGGTATACCATCTATTCCAGGGGCCTTATTTTTTTGCTATTTCCTTCAAAGCAGCTTAAACTTCTGCCTTCATCATCATAGGTTTTGTACACTAGATTTCATAATTTTAGGTTTGTTTGTTTTTAACTTAGTCCATCTTGGAGTTCTATAAGAAGTTCAACCTTAGAGTTCTGTAAAAATCCTGTAAGAAGTTAAATAAGTGTTTCGTTTTCTTATCAGACATCTAATTGTTCACTACTTCACTCCCAAGTGCCAGGCACCTGTTTTTTTTCCAGTCTTACTATCAGACATTACGCAGTGGTTGGTGCCCTGGGTGAGAATTTCCCTGGACGCTGTCCTGCCGGACCAGGGCCACCTTAGCTAGCTCCATCCAGTCACCCTCCGAGTAGCTAGTGCAGATGCCCACGTGATTATGTCCAGTCCTCAGTGGAGCCTGACTTTGCCTCTTGTTCTCTCTGCATGTTGGATAGTATCCAATTACAGATGTGACTGCATCCCTTGTCTCCCAGCAAGGTGGGCACCAGTTCAGGTTCACTGCTGTGTATTTTGCCTCTGAGTTGTTTCAGTCCTGAGACCCCTAATCCTTACAGGACAGGTAGATGAGAGGTAGTCATGCGTCACAAGGACAGGAATTTTGGCATATCCCTTGTGAGGTGAAATAGGTATAACGTCGGTAAATCGGGGGAGGGGGGCCTGAGACCCCAGCTTCTTAATACAGGACCCTGCAGTGTCCTTAGTGCACACAGTGAGATCAGAGGTGGGGGACAAGTTCCCAGAGAGAAGTACCTGGGACTGAAAAGCTCTGGGGTTCCTGGGGGACAAGTGGGGGTGTTGGGCAGCTGCCCTGGAGCTGCCAGTGAGCACCCCAGCAGACGTTTGAGGAAGGGGGAGATCTGACAGGAATACAGGGAAGAGGCAAGATGTGGGGTCTGTGCACATAGAAGGTTCTAGAGGACTCCAGGTAGAGTGTGAGGCAGATGTCTAGCCTGTCTATGCCTCCTGCCCTTGACTCCATATGGCACTGGGCCCAACCATGGCTGGGGGGATCCTGGCCTCAAATGAGTTTCTAATTTCCACGACCCTAGAAAGCGCTCCATTCCTGGTCACTGCTCATCACTCCTGTCCTCCCTGAGGAGACCTCTGTTGCCACCACAGTTACGACAGTCACTCTTGCTGTGGCTTCAGGTAGACTGCCCCTTCCTGTAAGCTCACGACCATCCTTGTGGCCTCCGCGTCTTGCTCTGGGCAGTACCTGTAACCTGATGCAATCTCAGAATCTGCCCAGAAAGCAGGGGCCTCATGAGGCCTGGGGGCTGTGGTGTGGGGGGTTCCAGGCGGAGTTCAAACCTGTTCACCTGCACTTTCTCCTCCCCCCCCTCAGGTCACATCAGTGCCACCTGATGGGCCTCACACTGCATACTGCTCCTTCCTCACGTGGACCCCTGAGGAAACCTGCCGGCTCCAACTTGAGCATCCCAGGACCCGGGTTGGAGCAGCCAGGTTGCCTTAGGAGGGTGGTGCAGGCATAATAGGTTTGAAAGGAAGGTCAGGCGTTTTGGCCACACATAGGAAGATTGTTGCTGTTGTTGATATGAATTGACTGTGACTCATAGCAACCCTGTGAACAACGGCTCTGCACCTTGCCCTGTCCTGAGCCAGCCTCACTGTCTCTCACACATCCAATCCTGTTACCGCAGTCACTGAGTCGATCCATGTCATCCAGGGTCTTCCTCTCTTATGCGGACCCTCCACCTTTCCAAGCATGATGTCCTTCTCCAAGAATGGGTCTTTCCTGGCCACGTGCCCAAAGTATATGAGACAGAGCTTTAAAATCTTTGTCTCAAGGGAGCTGCCTGGTTTCACCCACTCCGGGACAGACCTGTTCTCTCAGTGGTCCATGGTGTGTTCAGTACTCTTCTCCAGCACCACAACTCAAAGGCATTGCTGCTGCTTCTTTCATTCTTAGTCATGGTCCAGCTCTCTGATGCACAGCAAGTCCATGGCTTATGGGTGCAGGAAGATAAGGGGGCAGAAGTAACATAGGGGGCAATGCTGCCTGAAGCCCTGAGATTCATGAGTTTGTGAGGGAATGAGTGACGAGGGACAGGGAGCCGGGAGGAGAGGTGGGGACTGGGCGGGGCAGTGGGGACTCTGACTCAACAAGAACTTCCAGCACCTTGCCTCAATTTGCTCCCTATTGCCCTTCCCAGCACCATTTCCCTGTGATTTCAGCCAAACAGATGAGGTTTTATGAGTTGCTAGTGTTCTGCTTTAATTTTTAATCTCCCTTTCTTCCTTAGCTGGTTGGGAAATTACCTGGCTGATTCTTGTGATGCTGATTTCTCAGGCTCCACACATCAAGGACATTTTGCTCCTCGTGGTCTCTCAGGTGGGGGCCACACACAGTACATAATGTGGGTGTTGACCTGTATCCTGGCCTGACTCACAAGATGCTTACAGCACCACCTAGTGGTGCATCTAGGAATTCCCCCAGACATTGTTTGCCACTTGGGGACTGAAGTACATCCCCTAAGCATGCTGTCACAGGGGTGACCACTGAAGTGGTAGTTAACACAAATTAGCACATTTATCCCCCTGGACTATCCAAAGGCCCTGACCAGCCCCTCAGTGTTCCCTGGGGCGAGTCCTGGGAACAGTGTAAGCATTGTCCTGGGTGCCTGGAGGTCAGTACAGAACCTGCTGGGCTGAGGCAATGCTGGAGTCCTGGGTTTGATGGTTCTGCCCTTATTGGTGGTCAGTCCAATCCTCTTTGTTCAGGGCTCTCCCACAAACGAGCAGGGGGCGGACCCTCTTGTTTCTGGCTGGGTCCCTTTGGTCTGACCCCTGGAAGCTTCCTTGCATTTTTCCATGAATGCCTCCCATTCCCCCAGCCCTCGCTTCTAGAACTCAATATTTGGGATATTCCTCTCCTGTTCTGTCTGACCCCTCCCCACTAGTTCCTCATATATTTTTTTTATCCCTTCTACAAGACTGCCACAACTTTGTCTTCCATTTGCTCTTAATTTCCAAGTGCTCAAAAAAGAGGGGGGAAATGTTCTTGTTTAGTAGCATTGTTCTTGTTCCGTGGATGCACTAACCTCTGAAAACATTCTAGATTGTCTGTCTTGTTAGTCTTGTAGCATTGGTTCTCCCCCAGCCACCTTCTTCTGGGGTTTCTATTTATTTTAGACCCTTAGGCAACTGTCCACAACTAATAACAGGGACTATTTTGGTTGGCAGATTTGAGGATGGAGATGGGGAGCCCCATAGTGCTGGTGTCTTTAGCTCTTTGTGGGTCAAATTCCCAGAAATGTCTTTCCTGCCTGGAATCTGAAGGACTGGAACTTTCTCTGTTCACCTTTCCCTAACAGTCACCTGCTGAGCCCAGATGTCCTGCAGGGCCTCACTCGCCCCGCTGTCCTGTGGGTTTCACTCACCCAGGTAACCTGTGGGGCAGTGGGGTCTCACTAGCCTAGGTGTCCTGTGGGAGGGCCCATGCGGGTCTCCCTTGCCCAGGCCATGGGGTATCTCTCACCTTCAAGAGACACCAAGTTAGTGCTTCAGAAGGCTTTGTGAGTTCAACACATTTGCAAGCCAGGTGTCCAGTTTCGGCTCCTCCTGATTCTAGCTTCTGGAATGTTCTACTGCTTTTTCTCCTTGACTTTTCAGGGGTGTACTATTTTCAGCCGTTTTTCTGTGCTCTCACTGGGGTTTTCACCCAGCCAAACCAGGATGCCTGTGGCTCTTTCACCTGGACCCAGCCTCGGTCTCAGAGCTGTAGTCTTATGACAGCAGCATGGCAGCTGTGCCCCACTGGGGTCTCTGTTCCACAGCTTTCTGGATGTACCCCTTCTCTGAGTGGTGTGAAGCTGTCTTTGTCATGGTCCTAGTTGGCTCTCAAGACCATCAAGTGGCCACTGGGGGCGGTGAGGAAGATGTCCCTCCTCGTGCACACACCTGAAGCAGGTGAGGGGTGGGGAACTCAGGGCTATGCACATGGTTCCTACAGCAGGTCCTGGTGAGATGAGAGGCCCCTGGTGGCCTGGGCATGTGGGTGTCACAGAGAGTGGAGATGACCTGGTGTTTCACCCACAGGTTCCCAAAGAACCCATTTATTATGACAGGTGCCTGCACTCACCTGGAACTCCCGCGGCCCAGTGCAGTTGATAGCCCTCACCCCATGCCACCCTATCCCCCAGAGCTTTGACAGCAACCTGTGTGCGGCCTTACCATGAACACTGGCACTGGGGCTCAAGGCATGGCTCGCCTTGGGCGCCTTCTCCTCTTTCCTCTTCCCCCTCGCTATCTGTGCCCCTCTTCCATGTAAGGGTCTCATTTCCCTCACCCTCCTTCCAGTCTTTCCACAGGCTCATGTTCACGTCTCCCAGCTATGAGCCTTCATCTCTTCCTTCATAGCCCTCCTCTTGATCTGCTTCTGCCCTCCACTCCTGGATCACCCACCCTCCACACCAAACATCATGGAGGCACAGGAAGCAAACCATACAAATCCACTCAGAAGCAGCCCGCTCCTTTAATGTCCAGGGTGCGGCCACCATGCTGTCTGTGGGACGCTCGCCCAACGAACAGACACAGACGCCTTGACTGGGAAAATGGCTCCGAGGTTCCCAGGCAGGCCCTGGTGCAGGCACGGCGGTATCGGGCACCAGGGGACAGGACCCTGAGGCTGCAGTGGTTGCTAGGAGCCCCCCAGGTGCTGGTGGAAGTAGAGGCCAAAAAGGCTGGACAGCAGTTGGCAGGCGGCCGTCCACCAGACAAAGAAGGAGAGAATGCCACGGCAGAACAGGGGTGTCAGCAGGCCACCCAGCACCCCTACAATCTGGGCTGCTGTCTCATGGGCCGAGTCCCCCTCAGGGCCAGCAGGGGCAGCATCAATTGAAGAAGGGGTCGGGGGCAGAGGGGAGGCCTTGCCCAGACCCCAGGAGTAGCCACCTGTGAGAGGTGTAAGTAGGGAAGGATCAGGAGGGGACGTACAGAGCCCACCCCGGCCAGGCCTCCCGCAGCCCTCACATGGCCATGGCTTCCTTGACCCCCTCCTCACGGCTCCTCACCCAGGGACTTGAGCAGCAGAGTGCAGTTGAGGGTGAGGATGAGGGGCGTCAGGTACTGCAGGCTGACCACCGTGACATAGCAGTACACCCGGACCACCTGGGGGAGGGAGGGAGGGTGCTCGGGATGGCTCGCTGCTGCCTCTCCTGGCCCTCAGTGTGGCCCACCTCAGTCCCCTCCGTGCCCTGAGTTGCCCTTGTCACCAGCCTCAGTTTCCTCCCTGTGTTGGATTCCCACCCTCCACCCACCCCCCCACTGCTGCCTCACCCGGCGCTGGATCTCTCGGGCCTCGATGCGGCCGGCCTCCCGCCGCAGCTGCTCCACCCGCACCTTGGCGAGACTCAAGTAGGCCTGTAAGTGGGGCCGCGTCACTGCCAGCCGCAGCAAACACAGTACCACCAGCACCCAGAGGCGTGCAGAATCGAAGGCAGAGTCCGACAGCCTGCGTGGGGATGGTGGGGGGCCCGGGGGGGGGCTGGTGAGAGCAGCACACCCCTCCCAGGAGCCCCAGTCCCTTCCTGAGCCTCAGAGGCTGCCTCTCCCCACCCCATCTTCCTGTACGCACAAGGAGACGGATTTCCCCCCAAGGGGTGCCTGCCGCAGGAAGTCCCGGGCGATGGGCCTGGTCCACAGCCACAGCACAAATATGGGTGACAGGAAGCTGGCATGAAGGAGGAGCCTGTGGGAGCAGGCAGGTTAAAGATTGGCAGGTGGAGCCCGGACCCCCATCACCACCTCCACACCCCCCATCGCATGCCCCCTGCCCACATTACTGTAGCCCCGGCCGGTTCTCTGCCATTGTCAGTGCGTCACGGTGGGTCTGGGCCAGCCGCAGGCCAGGGAAGGTGAGGAAGGCACCCAGCACAGCGCCCATGACAGCCAGCCCCACACGGATGGTCAGCTTGACCAGAGGGAGCCTGAGGGGAAGAGCAAGGTCAGAGAGACCCAGAGCTAGCCAGTGTCCTCGTCCTCACCAGTCCAGTGGGACCCCAGAAGCTTCCCAGCTGCCCACCCCATCCCTCGGACTCACGCCCAGTCCCAGTCCTGCTTCTTTAGAAGTGGCTCCAAGTTGCGAGTCATGCTAGCCAGGCCTGGAAAAACAAGAAGAGCGTGGGATGGGGTGGGCCTCAAGGACCTTGAGCCCCTGCTGCCCCAGTCCCAGACATCCACCCATTCATTCACTCCCCAGGTCATAAGGCATCTGTGATGGCCAGGCACTGAGGCTATATCATATTTCTGTTAGTTAAGTGGGACTCATTTCCAAGAACGGGTTTGTTGCTGTTGTGATGTGCCATCGGGTCACTTGTGATTCATAGCGACCCTGTGCACAAAAGCCCTAAATGCCATTCTATCCTGTGCCAACCTCGCCGTCTCAAACACACTCATTCCCACCACTCCACTCACAGAATCGATCCATCTCATCGAGGGTCTTCCTCTCCTGTGCCGTCCCTCCACTCTCCCAAACATGATGCCCCTCTCCAAGGACCAGTCCCTCCTTGCAACATGCCCAAAGTATGTCAGACGAAGCTTCAGAATCCTTGACTCTAAGGAGCATTCCAGCTTCACCCTCTCCAGGACAAACCTGTTTGTTCTCCTAGCAGTCCATGGTATATTCAACACTCTACTCCAGCACCACAGCTCAAAGGCATCAATTCTCTTTCTATCATCCCTATTCACTGTCCAACTCTCCGATGCATAGCACGTAATTGCAAAGACCATAGCCTGGATCAGGCACACCTTAGTCTCCATCCTGACGTCATTGCACTTCAGTACTCTTGAGAGATCCCTCACAGCAGTGGGGATCCTCCAGGAGTATATGAGGAAACTGGAGAACAAAAAGGAACCCTAGCAGGCAAACATCAACATCCTCCATGTAGAAAATATCCTCTATTTGTTATGTTGTTGTTGATATGCACTGCCGAGTTGGAATGATTCATAGCTGACTTGCCAGCAGGTTTTCAGAGGCAGTATATTGCACAGGAGGAGACTGCCCATCTTTCTCTCAAGGAACAGCTCGCTCCTTGGATTCAAATCACATGCCTTTTGGCTGGCAGCACAACTCCTCACCACTAAGTCACCAGAGCTCCACTATCCTCTACTTAGGTCCCTACATTTTCTACAGGCTAAAAGTAAACCAGTATGAGCTCACCACCAAAGATCACCAAATATACAAAGAAAGAAATTTGAGAGGTTAAAAAAAAAAAGAGGACAAGTGTAATCCCCTCAAGGATTTAAAAAACTGATGTTATAATTATGTGTGAAATTATTATATAAATAAACATCAGACCACTTTCAGTTACTGGACAGACCAGAAAGAACCAACAGAGGGATTAATGAATTGGAAGACAGATCTGAAGGAATCACTCTGATTCTAGCTCCGAAAGATTATCAGGAATTGGGGCAAAAAAAGGTAAAGAGGTCGGACTGGAAAGTCCAACATAAGTCAAATTGGAGTCTCACAGGAAGAGGAGAGAGAATGAAGGGAAGAAAGGTGTGGAAGACAAGGGTCAAGAGGTTTACAGACTATACATGCAAAGTATCTCAAGCTGATTCAGGAAAAAGAAACCCATACCTAGACACACTGTAGGGGAACTGTTGCTGTTGTTACGTGCTGTCAAGTCGTCTGGAACTCATAGTGACCCTATGTATATAACAGTCCTAAGCCCTGCTCTATCCTGTGCCAATTTTATTGTCTCTGACACACCTATCCTCATTACCCCAGTAGTTGAATCAATCCATCCCATCAAGGGCCTTCCTCTCTGGTGCTGTCCCTCTTCCCTCCTAAGCATGATGTCCCTCACCAATCACTGGTCTCTCCTTGCAACATTGCCCAAAGCATGTCAGACAAAGCCTCAGAATCCTTGCCTCCAAGGAGCAGCCTGGTTTCACCCTCTCTAGAATGAACCTGTTTGTTCTACTGGCAGTCCATGGTATACTCAGTACTCTTCGCCAGCACCACAGTTCAAAGGCATCAATTCTCCTTCTATCATCCCTAGTTATTAGTTCAGCTTTCTGATGCATAGAAGAATATGGCCTGGGTCAGGCGCACCTTAGTCTCCAGACTGACATCGTTGCTCTTCGGTACTCTGGAGAGGTCTCTGACAGAAGACTTTGCCAGTGCAAAAGTCTTTTAATTTCCTGGTTGCTGGTACCAAGAGTATTTGTTGATTGTGGAGATAAGCAAACTAAAGCTGTTAACAAACTCAGTATCTTCACCATCTATCATGATGCTGCCCACCAGCCCAGTGGTGAGAATCTTTGTTTTCTAGAACATCAAAAACAAGACATCACAAAGCAGGCGGGCAGTTAAGACAGATCACCTATATAAGAACAATAATTAGGATGATGGGCCAACACTAACAGTAAACAGAAAAAAGATGGTAGAAACAATGTTAACATGTCAGTATCACAATAAGGCAACTAACTTTTAAGACAGATACAGTTGAAAATATTTAGCTGTATGTTGCTTAAAGGAGACACATCTCGATGCAAAGTCCCAGGAAGGAGGAAAGAAAGGATGTTAAAAAGATATAGCAAAAGCAGCTCTGGTGGTGTAGTCCATAGTAGGTTGTACAGCTAATAAGAAGATACAGGAAATGCTAATCAAAAGAGCATTAGTCATGCTGGGGAAAGGCAGAAGGTCACCAAAGAGAAGCTTTAACAAGAAGGACTGACACAGTGAGGGCAACAACGGGCTTGAGCATGGAGATGATGAGGATGGCACCACACAACACCACGCTGGGAAAGACTATATGAATAACAGACGTCATGTACAAAGTAGCCACAAACAGTAAAAGCATAAATTTGTGTTTGTTAAAGTCACCGACTTGTGCTGTTTCTGTCACAGCACCACTAGATAACCAAGACAGACACATTCCTGCATCTTTTCCTTCAGGAACATTTTTGTTATTAAAATTACAAATGGTGGCGAGCTCTGGTGGCCTAGTGGCAAGAAGCTGCACTGCAATCCCAGAGGTGCGCGGTTCGAATCCACCAGATTCTCTGCTGAAGGAGGAGTGACAATCTCCTCCTGTACCAGTCAGATCCGATTTGACGGTACACACATAAAAAATAATAAAACTTAAAAAAAAATTACAAATGAACTTTCTGACACAAAGACAAAAATTTACAAGGCTGTTCTTGTGAAACATTGTTGGAGAACAACATGATTTTGGTGCAGCATTGTCCAACATTGTCTGGTAACCTTTACCAGAACAGAGTCAGGTCTTTTTTCCTAAGGATCAGCTGGTGAGTTCAAACCCAAGACTTGTCAGATAAAAGAAGAGCACTGCACCAAGAGGGCCCCTTTGCAGAAGACCTGAACATCCATCAGCAGGTGCCTGCTTCCATAACTACGGCACAGCCATCCAATGAAATACCCTGTAGCTATTTTTAAAAACAGCTGAATATCCCATAGACTGCCAAAAGAACAAACAAATAGTTTTTGGGAAAAGTGCAGCCATACAGAACAATCTGTGTAGAAATTACTGAATGGGAACCTAAACTTCTGAGTAAACCTCCACCAAAAATGCAATAAAATATATTTATTTTTTTTTGCATGTGATTTTTTTCCTTTTTTTAATTTTTTTAAATAATTTTAATGAACATTTACAGAGAATTTGGATTTCCATTCATTCATTGTTGCATTTCTCTAGCAATAAAATATTTAAAAAAAATAATGGAGACCAAAGGCACCTGGTTCAAATCCACCAGATGCTCTGCTGGAGAAGGAGGGGCAATCTCCTCCTGTGCTTGTCGGATCTGATTTGACAGTTCCCAACAAGAAAGAAAAAAATGGAGGGTAAACAATGAATTTGGCTAAATACCAATGAGCTGAAGATATGATGTAGCAATAATGAAAAAAAGCCCCATGATCTAGAAGTCGTCACTGCTGTTGTGTAACATCAATTCAGAATCGACCCACAGCTGACCCTCCAGCGGGTTTTCAGAGTCAGTAAATTGCACTGGAGACTGTCCATTCTTCTTGCACAGAGCGAGCAGATGGTGGATTCAAACAGCACGTCTTTGGAACTGCAGTACAGCTTCTTACCACTAGGCCATCAGAGCTCCCTGATAAGTTGTTGTTTTTATGTGCCATCAAGTTACCAGCGAGTCATAGTGACCCTATGTACCACAGCTCTGAACCCTGCTCTATTCTGAGCCAACCTTATTGTCTCTGGCACACCTACCCCCATTACCCCAGTCATGAATTATATAAAAATATTAAGAGTGGGATACAATATTCTCAATGCTCAGGTTACAGCTTTGACCTAAGAGGAGTTTTCCTGGTGTGTGGACTGCAGTCCTTGATCTTATAAAAGATTAAAAAGGGAGGGAAGCCAAAAGAGAGCAGAGAGAGCGCAGCAGCACCGAGGAGGAGCCAGGACTGGAGTGTCTTTTGGATCCTGGGTCCTTTCTGGTGAACCTCCTAGATCCAGGAGACAACTGACGTCAAGGCACAGAGAGCTCCAAAGAATGCCAGGCCTCACAGATACTGAAAGGAGACAAGAACCTTCTTCCAGAGCCAAGGGAGGGAGGGACGGAGGGAGGCGGAGGCAGAGACAGAGAGAAAGACTGAGAGGCAGAGAGACACAGAGAGGGAGAGAGAGCCAGCCAGCCTTCCCCTAGAGCAGGCACCCTGAATTTGGACATCTAGCCTCCCAAAGTATGAGAGAATAATTATATGTTTAAATCAATAAAGAGTCCTTGAGTGACACAAGTTAAGTGCTTGACAGCTAGCTGAGAGATTAAACTCATTCAGACGTGCCTAGGAAGAAAGACCTGGTGATCTGCTTCCAGAAGGTCACGGCCTTGAAAACCCATGAAGCACCATGAGGGACATGCTGGTCAACTAGCACAACACAGTCCATAGGACAAAATTCTACACCCTACACTGGTGAGTCACAGCTGGGGACTTAACAGCTTGCACGTGGCCATTAGTCTCCCTCTGTCTGGAGCAAAGAAGAGTGAAGAAAATAAAAGACATCTGGACACAATCAGTCCACAGCCCTAAGAGACCACGACAATCTCATCCTCTGCAGCAATAAGACGAGAAGAATGGAGAGGGCTGGCTACCACTGCTGCCCGCTCGGACGGGGAGCACAGTAGAGGGCCTGAGAATGAGCAGGAGATAAACACGAGACACAACTCAGAATCCCAGTAATGGTCAGACTAAGTGGTCTAATGGAAATGAATAAAAACCCGCCCCATCAAAAGGAAGGGAGCCTATGGGGCGGTTCTACTCCACACACACACCTGGAGCTGGAACTAACAAATACCTAAAGACGCCACGATGGCTGCCAAGGACGGCACAGACAGGAGGGATCACCGTGAACACCTGCATGAGGGGCAGTGGCTACAGGTAGACAGTCAGAGGCCAGGAGAGGCAAAGGCTTCTGGAGCCTCACTGAAAGCTATTGATGCTCAGAGCCCTCAGGGCAGCCTAGCTGAGCCCGTGGGCCTGGTGTCCCCAGAGCCGGCAGCATGTGGCTGTGACAAGTCTGCCTGGTGCCCCCTCCACACCAGGCTGTGCTAACCTGGCTCGAGGCCGAGCTCCAGCGTCTCCTCCCGAACCACCTGCACCAGCATGGCCAGGAGCAGGAAGAAGAAGGCGAAGGTGAGGCAGACGGAGCGCTCGCCTCCCTCCTCTGCGCTGAAGTAGAGCCGCGTCACTGTCAGGAACACCTTGCTGGTGGCAGAGTTAAGGAGGCCATGGGAGCCAAGGTGTGGTGCCCCTGTGCCTCCAGACACAAGATGACCCTAGCAGTGGCCTGGGGGCACAGGGGAGGATGAGGAGAGCAGGTGAGTGCAAGGGGCAGGAAACAGCACAAGTGTCAGGGAAGGGCCGCATCAGTTGGGCAGACACCGTGGCTACAAGGCCCCACATGACCCTGCAGTCCCTCTTTCAAGGTGGCATCTGTAGGCCCCAAGACAGTTAAGTTCCTAGAAGGCACTCCAAACAAGCCTCCCAAAGGCCCTCTCAGAACTGCCCCAGCCTGGACTGCTGCTCTTGGAAACACGGGCCTCTTTCCAGAAGCAGATGGACTTCCAGACCAATCTCCCTCCTAATGAGCTAACCCCAAGCAGGCAACTGTTCCGGATGCCCCTCATCCTGATCTGCACCCTGACCACAGAAGGCTATGGGAGTTTTGACGGGCTAGGAGTGTGGGCTTCGGTGTCTTTGGCTGAAGAGAGACACGTGAGTCCCCAAGGAGCAGAGCGGTTGGCCCAGGCTCTCACAGACTACCACCCTAGGAGCAAATCCAAGGGCTGCTGTTTTGGAGATGTTTGTTGCCCTAGGAAATGAGGGGACCGGGTCGTGATCCCAAGGGCTGCTGTTTTGGAGATGTTTGTTGCCCTAGGAAATGAGGGGACCGGGTCGTGATCCCGCGCAGAGGAGGGAGAGGAAGGACACATAGAGAAGGCGACCGCCAGCAGGCACCAGCACACAGCGATGTTGGCCTCCCGAGTCGGGTGCAGCGTGTAGTAGTAGGCCTCGGTGAAGAGGTACACGCCGCCCGTGTACACGGCAAAGTCCACGAACCACTGGTACTCCAGGAAAAATCGCAGGACTGAGGGAGGGGGCACAGGGATCAGGGCGTAAGGTTCTGGGCTGTGGAGGGTGGGGGCGGTTAAGGGGGTGAGGTGGATAAAGGGGGTGAGGGGGGTAGAGTAGAAAGTGGGAGAGTAAGGGGGTTGTGGGGTGAAGGCCGAGACCTGGGAACCAGCAGGCTATTACCCAGGGCATCCACCGCAGTGAGAGGGCAGGTCTCCAGCTGGAAGGGGGTATCTCGGGGGACGGATAGCGGCTTCTCCTCACCCAAGCCGTTGGCCCACCTGAAGAGCAGGGAGGGTCAGGTAGCCCCATCCACCCACCTACAAGTCAGCAAGGGCCACCCACCTCACTCCACCCCACAGCTTCTTCAGCAGAAGGCAGCACTGGTCTGGCAGGACTTTTACCCAGACCCCACGGGGTGTAGGTATCAAAAGCCATGAGACTGTCCTCAAAGAGATTCCAACACCAGAGCTGCACCTGGGCTTGCAGGGGAAGCCCTCCTCCCCCAACCCTGGTGGACAGCGCCCTGGTTCCCCACAGTCCAGCACGCTCACCGCTCCCTCTTCCCTTTGGGTCTCTGCTTCCCCGCCAGGGCCCGGAGCTCCTCCTCTGATGGGTGCTTGTAACGGAACAAACTGAAGGCAAGACAAGCTTGGGTGTGGGGATTCTGGGCTGTGACTCCTAAACTCCAGGCTGGGGCTAGAGGGAGGTGAGGTGCGAACTTCCAGGGGCAGAGAAATAGATGGTAGTGCCCTTTTGGGAATTAGTGGGATGGGTGCTGTTAGGTCTCTGTAGACCAAGGGAAGTGTGGGCTGGGGCCTCTGACACCCTAAGCCAGCCAGCTTTGCAGGGGGAAAATGGAGACAGCTGTATCTAGAGACAGGCCATACTTTCTACTTTCAGAACAGGTTGGAAACACAAGGCCAAGAGGGAAGTTGCGGCGTGGGCGGGGCTTTTGGTGATTATAAGGCCCGCCCACATCAGACCACGCCCCGTTCCCTCCTCGGCCCCGCCCCCTGGCTCTTTCCCTCCTCACCTGCCATTGCAGAGCAGCCAGCGCGCGAAGGAGCAGTGTGCCGCCAGCCTGTGCATGAGGGTGGCGGTGAGCAGTGTCACCACCAGCTGCACCCCGAGCACCGCCTGTGGAGCACACCACAGGCCTGGTCCCAGAGTCACGGATTCCCTTCCCCCTCCCTCGAGCCTGAGCTGAGTGCTCGCTCGGCCCAAGCTATTTATAGAGAAGCCAGCTGGGGGGTGGGGTGGGGATGAGGGGGGTGTCCACTTGAGCTGGCTAGACCATCAGCTGGAGAAGAATGTGGGCTGGGACCCAACACAGCTCCTCTCTGAATCTCTGCTAGGCACACCCCCATTTAGCTTGATCCTGCCTCCCCGGGCTCAGGCCAGCTCATCTCACCCTGAACTCAGTCTCACCAGCACCCCAGGATCTATGAGGGGCGCAAGAGCCCTGCCAACTGGGGCTCAGAGGGGGTTCACCTGCGCCCTGTGCTAGGAACATTCAGTATTAATCCTGTTCCTGTGCTGTTTCACTTAATCCTCAGGAAAAACTTTGGGCTCCTAAACACCCAGCAGGTAGCAGAGGAACAGGGCAGGAGCAGGGCAGCCTTTCAGAGCAGAGGCCCTTCCACTCTGGCCCCTTTACCACAAGGCACCACAGAGCCTGTTAACCTCCCCATGCCAGCGTTTCCCTTTGCCCCTTCCCCATCTCCTCCCTTTGCAGTTTATCTCCCTGAAAGGCAGCCTCACCCACCACCTGTGTCCGGTAAAGACTCAACATGCTTGAATGTCATTCGTTTCCATTAATTTTAACTCCTTCCAGATCTTTCTAGACCTTACAGCCCAGTCAGTCCCCTGCTCAAGGCCCTTCCCTGGACCTGTTGTTGTGTGCCCTGGAACCAAGTCATAGCTTGACCCTCTAACGGGTTTTAGAGACAATAAATCCTACGGGAAGGGCCTGTCCCATCTTTCTCCCTTACAGCATGCTTTGGGTTGGCAGCACAACTCCTCACCAGAGGCACCAGACTTCCTTGGACCAACGTGCCTTAAATGGAGGGAAAAATCTGCTAAGACCAACTCCAACTGCCTGAATCTGCTTCCTAGGGGCCCGTCCCCCTCCTTTCCAGCTGCCCCAACTATTTCCACACCTCCCTCCATCAATGCCTGAGGTTGAAGGCCACATCCGACGTCTGCCCTCTGGCCTCAGTTTCCATCTTCCACTGGTCCAGGCCAGACTCTCTAGGGGTCGAGGCTTCCAGCCTTCATCCGAACTACAGATGCCAGTTTTGAACATAAGCTCAATGGGTCAGAGTCGCCCTGAGACCTACGGTTCGGGCTGTTTTATCATTGAACCTGAGACGCAGTCCACCCTAGGACCACTCAGATCTTCGGCATGATCCCCCAGGGCTCCTTCTGGCCCTTCAGCACACTCCAATAACCGCAGAGTGTCCCAGGGTTTAAGGTGTCCAGAGTGACCCTATGGGCACAGCTCGCCCGCTCTGGGACCCTGGTCCTAGGGGGTAAGGAGTGAGGCATCTCCACGGCTCCTTCACGGGGCTCCTAACATGCTCGAGTTTCCCGTATTCGCCTGCAGGAACCTCAGATCTCCCAGCAAGACCTCAGGCCTCTCAAAGTGTCCCCAAAGACTCTCCAGGACCCCAGGCACTTTCAGAGACTTTCAGTCTCAGGAGCGTGAGCGAAGACTCAGAAGGAAGCAAGATCTCTCCATGCGACCTCAACTTTCAGCACTGCTAACCTCCGCAAAAGGACACCGGACTTCGGACCCGGTCGGCGAGACCCTCGCCCCACGGAGCCCGTCGCCCGAGGGAACCCCTGCTCACCATGGCGCCAGCGGGGTGCGCAGTGCACGGTCCACGGAGCTCCCGGCACTTCGTAGAGACTCAGTCAATCAGGCCTCGACGATGTTTTCACGAGCAGCCCGAGCAACCAATCATCAGGCTGGGTCCAGTCACGAGGGATACGGGCGCGCTCGCCCGGCACAGTGCCTTCTGGGAGTTGTAGTTCAAAGACATCTGGCAAGTCAAGTCCCGGTGCGTGTGCTGGGGCACCGAATCAAAACCTGCCCCTCTCTGAAGCTGAATCTTCATCAGCAAACTACCTCGGAAGTCTATGGTAAAACAGTTGTTCAGCCACACTTCCTTCGGACAGGTCTGAGCTGAAACTCCCCTAATAAGAACAATCGATGACTTCCACAAACCCCCAAATTCTCAGACTAAATTCGGACCTTAATAGGACTTAACATCCTTAGTATTCAGCAGTCAGGAAATAAGGAGACACATTGTACACTGGGAAAATCTGCAGTGAGAGACCTCTCCAAATTATTGAGAAGTAATGCTGTCAGTTTGAGGACTAACGTGCGTCTGATTCAGGCCATGGTCTTTCTGATCACTTGCTATGCATCTGAGACCTGGACAATGAATAATAATGACAGAGGAAGAATTGATGGCTTTGAGCTGTGATTTTTAGAAAAAATTTTTTAGTCTTTTTTTATTTTAATAATTTTAATGAACATTTACAGAGATTTTGGA